TATCTATTTTCACCATTTTCCTCAATTTTCCCCAAATGGAAATATTTTCATATCAGTATTGTACAAAAGGCTAAAATATTATTCAAATGTAAACCATAGATTATCATTAGCATGTTTGGAATTTATTTATTTGTACTATTTACACTTGTGTGATTGCATTTTTTTTTACTTTTCTAGTGTTACATAGACATGTTTATAAAAAAGAACAATCATTATTTCTGTATTGGGACAAGGAATAGTGATAAAGAAAGTGCCGTCTAATGGGCAACCTAATAAATGAAAAGCATTTCTATTAACATCGATGAGCAAATTTTAGGACTTTAGCAAGGCTACTACAGTACTCACATTACTTATGGAAATTTGTTCACAACTAATTGTTTAGGGTTAAAACTCAAACCATAAACACCTGTACACATGTGGAAAATGATAAACCAAATAAACACAAACGGTGAACTAGTGAACCAGTTCGACGTGTGTTTTCACATTGTAAGCTAATTAGCCTACTTTCGGTTTCTAAAATATTAGCAAGGCTATAACAAGAGACGTTAGATATCTGTGGTGACACATACGACCTTCTTTGTGACAAAGAGAACAATGATACATAGTTTCGTCAGAAATGACGCCGTGGATTTAACATACATTGATACCCTAGCTTCAATACGTGTCGGGTCGGGTTAACAAATACATTTTCAACTTCCTGTTTCATATCCTACAACTTCCGGTTTCACTTCATCGAAGCAATGTAACTTTATGAATGCGGAAGAAGAATCATTTGGTGTGAAAGTATTCCAGTCGGTTTTCTTGATATATTGCTGTTACAAGTTCGGTCGTGCATCACTTCCACATGTGTAGGGAGGTGGGGTTATATAATAGATCCTAGCCTGTTTCAAGAAGACATGACGCTGTGAAGTGCAGTAACAGTCAGTGAGTAATATATTATTCAGTTAAACTAGGATGTTATTACAAGATATCACAATTTAGAATAAAACATATAATTAAGATCACAAAGCAGCTTGTAAATAAAAAAGAATATTTTGTATTAAGACTGAGAATAATAATAGATCTATCATAAGTAAAGGATTCATTGATATCACCACGGACTAATCTAATTCCGTGATATCACAGAGTATAAAAATCTTAAAAATGTCTAATACACTGTAAAAAAAAGGGCAGATATTACTATAAAATGAGACAGACTATTTTTTAGTATATAAAGGTAGATATAAATAAGTCACATGATAGGAGTGGTGATTGCCATTTACCTAGGATTACCCATAAAACCCACAAAGTGGCTTATTTCCAATGGGGTCCTTTTAAAAATGGAAGAAAATAAAAGCAAAAATAAGAAAATCAATCCGGTAACGGTTCAGAAAGCATAGAACAGGATATGTGTGTATCATATTAGATAACTGTATTTCCATTTATATAGACCTCTGATCACAGGTGTTTGAAATTCTAGCTGTAAATTGAGATAAAAATCATATAAAAATAAATAAGAGTATTATACTATAGTAATACCCTTATTATTTGTATTGATTTTTATCTCAATTTACAGTCTGAATTTCAAACACCTTTGCTCATATTTACACGTTTATCTGATTATAGGTAGGTAATGATACATGTAATGAAGTGGGATAACTTAACCATGGTAAAACAAAGGCTCTAGCGAGCTATTGATCCAACTAAACATATATTACTATAGACAACACTAATTGATACATGTATGTGTATAGACAGGTAATGATACATGAAGCGCTATAGACAGGTAGTGATACATGAAGTGCTATAGACAGGTAGTGATACATGTATCACTATAGACAGGTAATTATATATACTGTATCACTATAGACAGGTAATGATACAGGTATCACTATACACATTTTATGATACAGGTATCACTATAGACAGGTAATGATACATGTATCACTAAAGACAGGTAATGATACATGTATCAATATAGACAGGTAATGATACAGGTATCACTATGAACAGGTAATGATACAGGTATCACTTTGAACAGGTAATGATACAGGTATCACTGTAAACAGGTAATAATACAGGTATCACTATAAACAGGTATTGATACATGTATCACTATAGACAGGTAATGATACAGGTATCACTATAGACAGGTAATGATACATGTATCACTGTAGACAGGTAATGCTACATGTATCACTATAAACAAGTAATGATACTGTATCACTATGAACAGGTAATGATACAGGTATCACTATAGACAGGTAATGATACAGGTATCCCCATGAACAAGTTATGATACAGGTATCACTATACACATTTTATGATACAGGTATCACTATACACATTTTATGATACAGGTATCACTATCCACATTTTATGATACAGGTATCACTATTGACAGGAAATGATACATGTATCTCTGTAGACAGGAATGCTACATGTATCACTGTAGACAGGTAATGATACATGTATCACTATAGACAGGTTATGATACAGGTATCACTATGAACAGGTAATGATATAGGTATCACTATAGACAGGCAATGATACAGGTATCACCATGAACAAGTTATGATACAGGTATCACTATGGACAGGTAATGATACAGGTATCCCCATGAACAAGTTATGATACAGGTATCACTATGGACAGGTAATGATACAGGTATCCCTATAGACAGGTAATGATACATGTATCAATATAGACAGGTAATGATACAGGTATCACTATAGACAGGTAATGATACAGGTATCACCATGAACAAGTTATGATACAGGTATCACTATAAACAGGTATTGAGACATGTATCACTATAGACAGGTTATGATACAGGTATCACTATAGACAGGTTATGATACAAGTATCACTATAGACAGGTAATGATACAGGTATCACTATAAACAGGTCATGATACAGGTATCACTATAGACAAGTAATGATACAGGTATCACTATAGACAGGTAATGATACATTTATCACTATAAATAGGTAATGATACATGTATGTCAGTAGGGCCATCATTGAAATTTTTAGTTTTTTGGCAGTTTCTCTATTCACAATTTTTTCAGGTTGGTAGTTTTTTTCCCCCTTTTTTAGAAATCTCTTATTTCTATTTAAATATTCTCAGATTAAGAATTTTCCTTGCAAAGTATTTTTTTTACTAAAGGTTTCAAAAATATATTTGGATTGGTGCCATTTTTAGTGAATCAGTCACGAAACTGAAAACAAACGTTTTTTAATGATGTCCTAGACATGTAAACCAATCACTAGAGACAAGGTCACTACCATAGTTCAACAGTTTTAGTTTGAGGAAGTATTTGACTTATAACTCAATTACGATAACATGTTTCCTGTAATAATGTTAGCTGTTATATAATTTTGTGTTAATCAATTTTGACTGTTTTCCTGCTAAATATTACTAAGCGTAACATGTCAATCTCTAACTGTTGACTGGTCACGTGATAAGGCAAAAAAAATGTGTGCTTCAGATAACTCAACCTAACCTAGATATTACTGTGGACCCTAGATGTTTTATCATCTACATCTGTACTCCTATTGAAGATTGATTTATTAGCCAGGCTATGTTGACAGCCACTCATTAAACTGTACTTTCTTCCTGTTCTAGGAGTCTGACCTTATTCTTGACAATTTAATAGCTATTATAATGTGTAGAAATGCATTGTAAAATTTGAAATAAAACAAAATATGAATTCACAAAAATAAAAATAATAAGTCATTAAAACAAGAGGCCCAGAGGGCCTGTATCGCTTACCTAGATATCTAAGCAACCATGGCAAAATATTCTTCAAATAAGATCCAAGGGAATGGGCCAGACCCTAAGGCCAATCCTTGTAGCATATATCTGCATGCGTCTCTTTATACCTAGCATTTGTATATTTATAGTTTTGGGGTGGGGGATCTCAACCGTTTCAAAGTTATGACCCAGGAGTTAAGTCTCCAAGAGTGGGACAGACCCTGGGGTCAATTCTTATATATCATGACTGCATTTGTCTCTTTATGCCTAGCAATTGTATATATGGTTATAGGGTGGGGATCTCAACTGTTTCCAAACTGTGACTCAGCCCCACCATTTGTACAATTTTGAATCCCCACCACCTAGGATCGATACTTCCAATCAAATTTAGTGAAATTCCAATCTGTGGTTAAAAAGAAGAAATCGTTTAAAGAAATTGTTGAGGTACAGACGAGAGACGACGCAGTATGGCATAAGCTAACATTGGTCCTTCTGACCCGGTGAGCTAATAAAAACTATTTGCCTACTGACCTACCCTATTTTTTCAGGCATGTTACTTGAAACAAACCATTTTCTTTTTACCTCATTTCCAAACACCCTGCTGACCATGATGAAGAATCAGCAGGGTGTTTGTCCTCTACCACAACTGCTAGGCCTAAATGATGTAACCGTTTGAAGATAAAAAGACAAACTGTTGTTCTGTTTAATTGAAAACTGTGACTCTGTAAGCACCTAAAACATTACATGTGATTGCATACTGATATTAAAAAGTTGATTTCTTACTCTACTGTTTGTTTTATATTGATCATGTTGGTCAAGTAACAAACTTAAAATGTATCATGCCTTATCAGTCAACAGTCAAACCGCATGTATTTTCCCTTGGGGTAGGGACCTACCAGACAAACTGTTTGCCGTGGCCTCGAGAAACAGTTCTTCTGATGGGTCAAAACTAACTCCTTGGGAAAACCTGACTGACACGGCCTCAGAACTAACTGTAAGATGTTATGTGTATTATTTGTCACATATTTTCATATTTATTATCCCCTTGCAACGAAAGTTTGAGAGGATATTATACGGATTCAGCCCGTACGTATATGTTACACTGTTCATCATCGTTCTAGCGACTTCAACGGGATTTCATGACACTTCATACAAGTGTTTGGTATGGCAATGCTTTGAACAATCTCTCGGTTTGGATTTCTACGTTGAAGGTTAACGTCACTGTTACTATTTTTAGAAAACACTTTGTCAACGCTGTAGCGACTTAATTACTGAATGGAATTTCATAAACCTTGATACAAGTGTTTGGTATTCATGACAATACCTTGAACAAGTTTGCATTTCAGGTTACTGCATTAAAGGTGAGGGGATGTGTATCACTTGTGATGCCTTGTTTCTTGTTAGTCATACTGATATGATAAATTAAGGAAAGTATGTGTAATTTTAGGAAACTTTTTTTCAGTTCTATGTTTCAGTTTCAATGTTTTTCATAAAATGGAAAGAGTGGAATTGTTGAAGGAACATGCATCATATTTTAGAAAAAAAATCCCATAATTTTATCCTTGGTCGTCTTGTAATAACTTCAGTATAACATGTAACATTTAACATTTCCATAACTATTGACATTTTGTGAATTTAATGATCTTCAGAAAAAACTTGAATACAGTTCAGGAAAAATATACTACATGTAGAAAATTTGAGTTAACCCTTTCACCACTGTAGACCATAATGGACTCATCCAGATAAATGTATGGTGAAGTCTACTTAAGTTTCCAAGGGTGAAAGGGTTAAGGGCTCATTAAGTTAACAGTGAAACAAACAAGATGGCCCAGTAGTAAAATCCTTCAACAAGGCTCTTGATTAAGATTTCAATTATTTAAATCATGCAACTGGTTCAATTTGCAGGTAAAACAACAATGTTTCGTGCCACTGCTGAAAAGTTTACGAAAAGTGTATCCTCAAATGGCGACACCTTCATACCAGTGGAGTCTATCACAAGCGCCCACGATCTCAAACTCCTCCAGATTGTGGTCAAAGAGATTAAACGACACTGCATTTTCTTTAAAAAAGTGACATACAAACCATACAATTTTGAGGTAATTGTTCTAAATTTATTGTTTGTTAAGAAATATTCTGTGTTGATCTGATATTTGTGATGTATCTGTTTAAAGGGTTAAATAACTGCCTAGCTTGTGTAAGTGTGAGTGTCTCATTAGGAAATTCTTAAATCAGCATAAAATTATATATAGAACAACCCAGGTTTTATCATTTGATGCTTTATATATACATATACGATTATAAAGTGAACCTTTCACTGTGTCATCAGTTCTTGTGCACATTTCATATTTCAAATTTGTCATCAGTTCTTGTGAACCTTTCAAATGGGTCATCATTTCTTGTGTACATTTCATATTAAAACTTCTGTACCTTTCAGATGTGTCATCAATTCTTGTGAACTCTTTATACATGTCATCAATTTCATTTCTTTTGTACATTCAAATTTGTTATCAATCCTTCAATGTGCAAATTTAATATTAGACCCATAGACAATCACAGTGAAAAACACTGTATGGTCTAAAGGAAAATGTTTCTTCATAGACCAAGATGACTATGAATTTATTTCCAATGATGTATATGATTCAGTGATAAGTAATAGTAGTCAACAAAAAGTCAATATTTGTCTTCCTTTATTATTAAACATATTTTCTTTATTTCATGTTGTTGAACACTAGATATACAAGTAAATTTTCCTGGTAAATGTCTGGTCTGTCAAAGTTTTACTAGGTCTATAAGAAATCTAAATCCTATCAAGCTATTTTTCATGGTGTGTAAAGACTAATTCTTGTGTACCTTTCAAATATTGTGTCATGGATTCTTGTGTATACCCTTCGTTCATGTCATCAGTTCTAAGTTCTTGTGTACATTTCTAATATTTCACCCAGTTTGTTCAGATGTCACCTTTGGTCTAATGTGTATAAATCTTTGAATGACATCTTCTCGATTACCAAAGGCTTGGGGTGATGATATTTGGTCTGAAACATGTTGGGATGAAGGGTTATTAGGTTTGTCCAATTAAATGACCTTGAACTACTTTCATGGTTGCATGGGGTTTAATGTGTTTAGACATTTAAACAATTTTTTTCACAATAACCAAAAGTCTCAGGGTGATGATATTAGCCCAGTGGCGTGTTTGGTTGAATGAACGACAACTTGACCCACTTTCAAAGCCAAGGGGATCAAATGTGATAAAATCTTTAAACAACTTCTTAACAATAACCGACAGTCCTAGGGCAATGATATTTGGCAAGTAGCATAGTGGGATAATGGGCTACCAAACTTGTTGAAATGAATGACCTTGACCTTCTTTAATGGTCAAATGTGTTTAAATATCTAAACAGGTTCTTCTGAATAAAAAAGAGACATATAGATATGCTATAATCTTTTGCCTGTAGTTTAATTGAGTTTGTGTAAATTTGATTGACCTTAGTCCACTTTTAAGGTTACTGCTGATTAATACCATGGATTGATACATGCACATGGGCCCCCTTTTTTAAGGAGGTTGGAGATGGACTTTTGTGTTTTTTCCTTGTTCATTTATTAGAAAACATGTTTTTTTAGCGATAAGTGGATAGTATCTAGTGGATTCCGTGTTCCATTTTCGTACAGATAAAACAGTCCATATTTATAATGCTGGGTACTTTCAGCTTGTCATCCAAAATTTAATTAGCTACTTCAATGGTCATTTTACAGCATGCTTTATGACATTTTTTCTCAAATGGGTGTTGGTTTTAAGTCTCAAGTGACCTATTCTAAACTTTTTGTATGTCATCGTCCGTCGTGAATCGTCCATCGCCCGTCATGCGTATGAAAACAATTTACATCTTCAACTTCTTCTCCAAAACCCCTGAACAAATTTCAATAAAATTTTGCAGAAACTTTCCATGGCCAAAGGTCAAAATTGTGAATTATATGGTCCCCAGCCCCAAGGGGCCTGAGGGGCGGGGCCAACATATATGTTATCACATAGGAGTGACATACATGTATGCTATCAGATTGGAGTGGCTTACATCTATGTTATCAGATTGGAGTGGCTTACATCTATGTTATCAGATTGGAGTGGCTTACATCTATGTACACAATTTATTATGGTTTATATTGGCTAATGATAGTTTGTATATTACATGGTGATATTAATGCCGCACATGTTTAATTTTGATAATATGATTGGAATTACAACCCTGAGTTGACAGTTTGATATTTTGAAAATTTTGAGCCAGCCCTACCCCCAAGGGCTGTAGGGTGGGGCCCAAAGGAGTCAGTGTGCTAAAATTCTTCATTTTCCTTATTTAGAATCAGAGGTGCTTTTTTGTCACTTTGAATAATATTTCTGTTCATGTTTTAGAAACAAAAATCAACTCTCTGTATACTCAGGTGACTGTTAAGGCCCATGGGCCTCTTGTGGGTTTTTTTAAACCATTCACCCCTGAAATTTCATAATGAACTGTTCCAACTCTTGAATTGGAAGAGTTTAAATGTGCCTTCAGGGTTAATATGTATTACAACGTTTGACTTGTTTTTCCAACAGCTGAGTGATGTACTGTTAAATTCCCATGTACCAATGCATGTTGACGAGAATACCCAAGAGGGCTTCTGTAAGTGGCACAGGACTATAGAACTATCCCTAAGTGGGAAATTTGGAGTCGCTATTCTGGAAGAATTGGCAGATGTGACGTTATCATCATCGGACACTGTCAATATTGAGGCTAATTTAGGTCAACTCAACCTTGTTAAGCTGAACTCCGCTAGTCTGGAACAAGGACTTATTAAAAGGTGGGTTAAAACTAGCTTTGATTTTAATCCACTGTTTGTTTTATGCATTGTCATTTTCATATGTATATGGATTGAATTTGAGAAAAGCCACTTTAACTCACAAACAGTATGTAAGTAGTTATTAATCACTGAACATAAAATAGACAAGATAATCACTACACTACAGCCTTTGTATAAGAACATTATTTTGTACATAATTTATTGTGGATTGGAGTGGCGTATATGTTATCTGACCGGAATGGCATTTGTCATCAGATTGGAGTGGCATACATGTATACTATTAGGTTGAAGTAGCATGTGTTATCAGATTTGAGAGGCATACATGTATATTATTAGGCTGGAGTTGCATACATGTATATTATTAGGCTGAAGTGGCATACATTATATTATTAGGCTGAAGTGGCATACATTATATTATTAAGTTGAAGTGGCATGTGCTATCAGATTGGAGTGGCATACATGTATATTATTGGGCTGGAGTGGCATACATGTATATTATTAGGTTGAAGTAGCATGTGTTATTAGATTGGAGTGGCATACATGTATATTTTTAGGCTGAAGTGGCATACATGTTTAATTTTAGGTTGAAGTGGCATGTGTCATTAGATTGGAGTGGCATACATGTATGTTATTAGGCTGAAGTGGCATGTGTCATCAGATTGAAGTGGCATACATGTATGTTATTAGGCTGGAGTGGCATATATTATCAGATTGGAGTGGCATATGATATATAAGGCTGGAGTTGTGTATATGTATATTTTTAGGTTGAAGTAGCATGTGTCATTAGATTGGAGTGGCATACATGTATATTATTAGGCTGGAGTGGCATACATGATTAATTTTAGGTTGAAGTGGCATGTGTCATCAGATTGGAGTGGCATATGATACATAAGGCTGGAGTTGCATACATGAATGTTATAATGCTGGAGTTGCATACATGTATGTTATAAGACTAGAGTGACATGTATGTAATATTAGGATGGAGTGGCACACATTTTTCATTTGTGGCATACATCTATGTTATCAGAATTGAGTGGCATGTTATCAGATTGGAATGGCATATTTACATCTATGTTATCACATTGGAGTGGCATATGTTGTCAGATTGATGTTGTATATATTATTTGACGGGCATTTCTAATCAGTTTAGAATGCTAGTTTTAAAAATATTGATTAATCTAGATCAGGACTAAACCTTATTAGATGAAAACTTGTGATTTTTCTCAAAACAGGAGGATTGATTTGAGCCATGTCCTGATAGAGCAAATCCGTTTCAAGAGAAAGAGAGTTTTATGTGTGGTCCAGAGTATCGTCAAACTGGCTCAAGATGCGGAGGTCAAGAGAACAGATAAAATAGATATCGGCGGCGGGATAAACACCAGAGTGCCGGTATGCTGTATACAGGTTGATTTTCAAACAATATTCTTTTAAAAGTAATAGTTACCTAAATATGTCACATATGCGACCATAATGTAGTCTCTGCTATGCTCCTCCTTGAAAGCTGTGATGTAGTTTCTGTTGTTACCATAGTAGACAGAAGTATTATACCTTGTTATTGCTGTATAAATAGCATAGCAGTATTATATTACATGCCCTAGCATGTTTACATATTACAGCTGTGATAAGATATGTTGTTACCAAGGTTACATTACAAAGGTGATATAGTAGGTTGTGTTCATGGTTATGTTACAACTGATATATATTTTGTGGTTACCAAGGTTACTTTAGAGTAGTGAATTGTTATCTGTAGAAATAGTTAGCAGTGATACTGTATATTGTTACTAGGTGATATGGTAGAAGTGATGTACTGCATTGTTACTTTGATAACATTGCATACAAGCAATAATGTAGATTTGAACTTCCTTGGTAACATAGTAATAATATAGTCTATTGTTCCCATGGTAACAGGGTAACAGGTAACAGCAATACAGATTATTGTAACCTTGGTTACATCACAGCAGTATCTTGATAAATCGTAACCTTGGTAACATGGTAACAATAATATAGTTTATTGTTAGCTCACCGGGTCCGAAGTACCAAGGTGAGCTTATGCCATACCTTGGCGTCCGTCCGTCGTCTGTACGTCAACAATTTCTTTAAACAACTTTTTCTTCTTAACCACTGATTGGAATTAAATTAAATTGACTGGAAGTATCCCTAGCTGGTGGGAATCAAAATTGTGCAAATGGTGGGGCTTACCCCCCAGGGGGCTGAGGGGCGGGGCCAAAAGGGGGTTATTTGGTTATTAGCTCACCTGGCACGAAGTGCCAAGTGAGCTTATGCCGTGGCCCGTCGTCTGTCCGTTGTCAATATTTTACTTTAAACAACTTCTTCTTAATAACCGAAAGGTCTAGGGTGTCGATATTTGGCCAGAAGCAAACTTGGATGAAGGGCTTCAAAGTTTGTTAAAATTAATGACCTTCACCTATTTTCAAGGTCACAGGGGTCAAATATCTCAAAAACTTGAAACATCTTCTTCTCAATAACCAAAATGCTCAGGGTGATGATATTTGGCCAGTAGCATGCTGGGATGAAGGGCTACAAAGTTGTTCAAATGAATGACCTTCACCCATATTCAGGGTCACAGGGGTCAAATATGTTTAAAACTTTTAACAACTTCTTTTGAATAACCAAAATGCCCAGGGTGATGATTTTTGGCCAGTAGCTAGCTGAGATGAAGGGCTACAAAGTTTGTTCAAATAAATGAACTTCATCTATATTCAAGGTCACAGGGGTCAAATATGTTAAAAACTTTATACAACTTCTTCTGAATAACCAAAATGCCCAGGGTGATGATATTTGGTCAGTAGCATACTATGATCAAGGGCTACTAAGTTTGTTCAAATGTATGACCTTGAATCATATTCAAGGTAACAAGGAGCAAATATGTTCAAAATATTTGAACAAGTTGTTCTGAATAACCAAAAGGCTCAGGATGTTGATATTAAGTCAGTAGCATATGCTGGGATCGAGGACTACTTTGTTTGTTAAAGTGAATGACTTTGACTTATATTCAAGGTCACAGGGGTCAATTTTGTTTTAAATCTTTAAACAACCTCTTCTGAATAACCATGGGTCCCAGGATGTTTATACTTTGCAAGTTGCATCCTGAGTTGAAAGGCTATTACAATGTGTTCAACATAATGACTTTGTTCAACTTTTAATCACAGGGGTGAAATGTTCAAAAAAAAAATAACAGGGTCTTTTGAATGAATTTTAATCATAAATACTGATATTTTTCCTGTAGCTTTAATTTAGATCACTTTTAAGGTTATAAGTGTGAGTTTTATACCAGGTGAGCGATGCAGGCCCATTGGGCGTCTTGTATTGCTTTAAGGAGGCTACACCCTTTCGCAATTAGCCATCAGATTTCAATGAAAGTTTCACATAATGGTTATGTCACTATGTAGAGATGATTTTTCTGAAAATCCAAGCATTCCGATAAACTGGGGATTTTTTTTTGAAACATACAGAAAAATTGATTTTTTGTCAAATTCAACACTTTTACATTTTTTGAGCGTGAGGCATTGTTCAAAATAATGAAAAGAAACATTGCTAATCAACCCTACAAATATTTTATTTATCATAAAATATCTACAACATGTTACAAAAAGCGTTTTTTATTGAAATTGTATGAATAAAAGTTACTAAATACAAGCTTAAAGCAAACAGGACACATAGTTTCATACAAAAAGAGTATTTTTTTATAACCTTGGCTAAGTTGTAGCAGTAATATTGTTTATTGTAACCTTGGTTAAGTTGTAGCAGTAATATTGTTTATTGTAACCTTGGCTAAGTTGTAGCAGTAATATTGTTTATCATAACCTTGGCTAAGTTGTAGCAGTAATATTGTTTATTGTAACCTTGGTTAAGTTGTAGCAGTAATATTGTTTATTGTAACCTTGGCTAAGTTGTAGCAGTAATATTGTTTATTATAACCTTGGCTAAGTTGTAGCAGTAATATTGTTTATTGTAACCTTGGTTAAGTTGTAGCAGTAATATTGTTTATTGTAACCTTGGCTAAGTTGTAGCAGTAATATTGTTTATCATAACCTTGGCTAAGTTGTAGCAGTAATATTGTTTATTGTAACCTTGGTTAAGTTGTAGCAGTAATATTGTTTATTGTAACCTTGGCTAAGTTGTAGCAGTAATATTGTTTATTGTAACCTTGGCTAAGTTGTAGCACTAATATTGTTTATTTTTCCCATGGTTACTTTGTAACAATGATGTAGTACATTGTTACCACGGTCACTTGCTAACTGTTATATAGTTTATTGTTAATTCTGTTACATTTTAGCAGTGTTATAGTATATTGTAACCTTGGTAAGGTCGTTACAGCGACAAAGGTTAAGGCTACCTTGGTTACAGGGTGGCAGTGAAAGCAGCGTGAGTGCCACTGGGTCTATTATCGACGACACAATAGGTGATATAGGTCTCCTGAAAGCCCAGCCAATAGCATACAAGGTATGGGAGCTCCAAGTGGATAAATACGGAGGAGGGATTGTACCTTGTATCACGGAGGATATTCCTGGTGGATTTATGAACAAGGAAGACATTATAGGCCGTCCCCCTATACCAGCAAGTACCATTGATGTAAACAATACTGGTAAGTCATCTGAATTTTGTCATTTGCCTATTTGAAAATTAAGAGGTTTAAGGAACCATCCCCGTGTAGCATTTTGGAATGGGGATAATGTCATTGTTACCCTGTTTGGTCTATGGCTTCATAATGTCCAGGTGATGAGTTATAAGTTTTCCTAATAGGAAAAGTAACTACCCTTTAATAATATATAAAGAGTTAGAACACATGCTACAAGGAAGAGTTACTGCCCGTTTCAGTCGAAGGAGTTTCTGCTTTTCTAATGCAATATACTATCTTATAGGTTTTTTAAATGAATTTCAGATGGCCTAGAAACTGATGGCGCTGGCCCTGGTACCGTTGCTCGGATTTCCGTATCTGGTCCTGTCGACCCCCCAGACAAAGTTTGCCGAATTCTGAAACCTCTGTTTTCCATGCCAGAGATACAAAGAGAGAAAATCAACGATTTGCTTTTCCATGCTTCAACAGAAGATTTTGAAAAGTTGGACATTCTTGTAAGTGAGCCCAAAAGGGTTGTGCAGATTTTTGCTATTTTTGGTTTGAAATATGTGGTGCAAGATGATCATATGGTGTATAAAAGTAGTTGGTATGACCCCCTGGGATGGAGGAGGAGGGCCCCAATTGGACATTTGACTAGTAGCTTACTGGGTGATAAGGAGCTAACAGTTCAAAATACATAACCTTGACCTACATTCAGGGCTACAGAGGTGAAATGTGGTAAAAAATTCTGTCATCTTCTATAATGAATCAAGAAGTCTGGAGTTATGATATTTGACCTGTAGCTTTTTTGGCTAAAAGCATTTAAATAAAATCACTTTGATCCAAAGTTAAAGACATCAAATGTTTTTGAAAACTTCAATTGATACATGTATTTTCAAGTACTACAATGCCTCCAATAATGATATTTGGCCTGTGCCTTGTATGAGTGAAGGGCTGTTCAATTTAACAGTTGTTCACGTAAATGGTAAAATTCCATCACTAGCTACTTGAATGGTTGACATTAGCAATTCAGCTTGAAATATATTTAACCAACATCAATAAATAACAAAGGAGTTCTACATATCTCTGGTTCCTTGTTTTTAGGAAAAGGCAAGTCGAAAATTTGAAGAACAATTATCAACATATCGGACACTATTGTTGAATTAAAAACAGGAAAAAGATAATTTTAGATCTGTGAAGCCATTTTTCTTTTCTTACAGTTTGACCAGGTAGAGAACAGATTTCATGATCCCAATACTGAGGACAAACTATCTTTTCACGGAATCTCAGATTTAAAATTCAAGGACCAGGACATTTGTTGTAACTTTCTTACTCTGGCTGGATTTGAACTGAAGGTGAGACATTTGTTATTTCAACTCTCACAAATCTCTCTAAGTTATATAGTTAGTATAACTGTATTGCCTCCAAGACAAGATGAGGGTTTAATCACATGCACACACAGAGATCAGGTCTCCGTGATACTGCACACCAGGAAATGTTTCGCTGCAGTTTAACTTTCGCCTTTTTCTCCCTGCACAATGAGTGCGAATTTATCATTTCATCGGACACTAGTTAGACAAAGTAAATATGAAGGGCGAAATTTAAACATATGGATTTTACTAGCGAAGAGTGCAAGTTTGACTGGGCAAAAAAGTTCATAGTTTCTAGAAACTCTGTACGAGACCGTGTAATGGATCCTCTGTACGAGACCGTGTAATGGATCCTCTGTACGAGACCGTGTAATGGATCCTCTGTACGAGACCGTGTAATGGATCCTCTGTACGAGACTGTGTAATGGGTCCTCTGTATGTGACCGTGTAATGGATCCTCTGTATGTGACCGTGTAATGGATCCTCTGTACAAGACTGTGTAATGGGTCCTCTGAACGAGATCATGTAATGGGTCCTCTGTATGTGACCGTGTAATGGGTCCTCTGAACGAGATCATGTAATGGGTCCTCTGTATGTGACCGTGTAATGGATCCTCTGTATGTGACCGTGTAATGGATCCTCTGTATGTGACCATGTAATGGGTCCTCTGAACGAGATCATGTAATGGGTCCTCTGAACGAGACCGTGTAATGGATCCTCTGTACGAGACCGTGTAATGGATCCTCTGTACGTGACCGTGTAATGGATCCTCTGTATGTGACCGTGTAATGGATCCTCTGTACAAGACTGTGTAATGGGTCCTCTGTATGAGACCGTGTAATGGATCCTCTGTACTAGACCATGTAATGGATCCTCTGTACGAGACCGTGTAATGGATCCTCTATACGAGACCGTGTAATCGATCCTCTGTACGTGACCGTGTAATGGATCCACTGTACGGGACCGTGTAATGGATCCTCTGTACGAGACTGTGTAATGGGTCCTCTGTATGTGACCGTGTAATGGATCCTCTATACAAGACTGTGTAATGGGTCCTCTGTATGAGACCGTGTAATGGGTCCTCTGTACGTGACCGTGTAATGGATCCACTGTACGGGACCGTGTAATGGATCCTCTGTACGTGCCCGTGTAATGTGTCCTCTGTACAAGACCGTGTAACGGATCCTCTGTACGAGACCGTGTAATGGTTCCTCTGTACGAGACCGTGTAATGGGTCCTCTGTATGTGACCGTGTAATGGATCCTCTATACAAGACTGTGTAATGGGTCCTCTGTATGAGACCGTGTAATGGGTCCTCTGTACGAGACCGTGTAATGTGACCTCTGTACGAGACCGTGTAATGGATCCTCTATACGAGACCGTGTAATCGATCCTCTGTACGTGACCGTGTAATGGATCCACTGTACGGGACCGTGTAATGGATCCTCTGTACGAGACCGTGAAATGGATCCTCTGTACGTGATCGTGTAATGGGTCCTCTGTATGAGACCGTGTAATGGATCCTCTGTACTAGACCATGTAATGGATCCTCTGTACGAGACCGTGAAATGGATCCTCTGTACGTGATCGTGTAATGGGTCCTCTGTATGAGACCGTGTAATGGATCCTCTGTACTAGACCATGTAATGGATCCTCTGTACGAGACCGTGAAATGGATCCTCTGTACGTGATCGTGTAATGGGTCCTCTGTACGAGACCGCGCAATGGGTCCTCTGTACGAGACCGTGTAATGGATCCTCTGTCCGAGACCGTGTAATGGATCCTCTGTACAAGACTGTGTAATGGGTCCTCTGTATGAGACCGTGTAATGGATCCTCTGTACTAGACCATGTAATGGATCCTCTGTACGAGACCGTGTAATGGCTCCTCTGTACGAGACCGTGTAATGGATCCTCTGTCCGAGACCGTGTAATGGATCCTCTGTACTAGACCGTGTAATGGATCCTCTGTACGAGACAGTGTAATGGATCCTCTGTACGTGATCGTGTAATGGGTCCTCGTACAGAGGTCCTCTGTACCAGACCGTGTAATGGGGCCTCTGTACCAGACCGTGTAATGGGTCCTCAGTACGAGACCGTGTAATGGGTCCTCTGTCCGAGACCGTGTAATGTGTCCTCTGTACAAGACCGTGTAATGGATCCTCTGTACGAGACCGTGTAATGGGTCCTCTGTACCAGACCGTGTAATGGGTCTGTAGATATCACCTCAATCAACTGAAATAACACTGTTTATTCATCCGCAGGAAGATGAAAATAAGATGACATCACCTGCAGCATGTACTCCAGCTTTTGAAGCATGCTGCCACCTGATGGAGGCCATGACAGAGCTACCGGAAGATGTGATGTCACTGGTCCGAGGCTGCAAGTCTAGTTTATGTCCGACTTTGCTTCACGTGGTATGTGTATGGGGAAAGACATAGTAAAAATCTGACTAGATACACATCTGATATCTCGTTAACTGACCTCTGACCTAACCGACCCCTGGCTTTAACCGACAGCTGACTCACCTGACACCTTACTTAACCAATACTTGACTTAACTGACACCTTACTTAACTGATACCTGACTTAACCGATACCTGACTTAACCGACAGCTGACTCAATTGACCTCTGACCTAACTGACACCTGACTTTAACCGACACCTGACTCAACTGACCTCTGACCTAACTGACACCTGACTTAACTGACACCTGACTCAACTGACACCTGACTTAACCAATACCTGACTTAACCGACAGCTGACTCAACTGACACATGACTTAACTGACAGCTGACTCAACTGACACCTGACTTAATTGATACCTGACTTAACCGACAGCTGACTCAACTCACATTAGACTTTGCTGTCATTGGATGAAACTGTTTTACACCTGACTGATCTCACACCTGACTTGACTTACGCCTGATGTATGACTTTACTTACGTAACTGACATCTGACTTTACTGAAATCTTATCTTAATTTGTCTAATTCTGTTCTATGTATTAAGTTTCGACAGTTCTTGCAAAATATCATTCAATGTTTTTTAAGTTTTAAAAAATCCTTATATATATTTTGTTCCATATTTATGGATTGAATAAATCTTATAAAGTCAAATATTGCTCCTTATTTACAGATTGAACAGTTCTTGAATGGAAGGCCAATGGTGGAGTTAACTCGATATGTTGAGGAGCTGGCCCGCGATCCCATGGGAATGGAACTACTGAATACCTTAAACATTAAGGTGGACATGGAAAGGAAAAATCCACTGATAGCTCGGGATGGGGGACTCAATGAATGTGTGGATGAACTTTATTGGTGGTTGTGTGCAACACATATGCGGTAACATCGCACTTAGAAATATCATTTATAGTGACATTACACTTAGTGACATCACACTCAGTGACATCATACTTAGTGACATCATACATAGTGACATCACACTTAGTGACATCATACTTAGTGACATCATACATAGTGACATCATACATAATGACATCATACAGTGACATCATACATAGTGACATTATACATAGTGACAATATACATAGTGACATCATACATAGTGACATCACACTTAGTGACATCATACTTAGTGACATCATACATAGTGACATCATACATAGTGACATCATACAGTGACATCATACATAGTGACATTATACATAGTGACAATATACATAGTGACATCATACATAGTGACATCACACTTAGTGACATCATACTTAGTGACATCATACATAGTGACATCATACATAGTGACATCATACAGTGACATCATACATAGTGACATTATACATAGTGACAATATACATAGTGACATCATACATAGTGACATCACACTTAGTGACATCATACTTAGTGACATCATACATAGTGACATCATACTTAGTGACATCATACTTAGTGACATCATACATAGTGACATCATACATAGTGACATCATACATAGTGACATCATACTTAGTGACATCATACATAGAGACATCATACATAGTGACATCATACAAAGTGACATCACACATAGTGACATCACACTTAGTGACATCATACTTAGTGACATCACACATAGTGACATCACACATAGTGACATCATACCGTGACATCATACATAGCGACATAATACATAGCGACATCATACATAGTGACATCATACCGTGACATCATACATAGCGACATAATACATAGCGACATCATACATAGTGACATCATACTTAGTGGCATCATACTTAGCGACATCATACATAGTGACATCAGACATAGTGACATCGTACTTAGTGATATCATACATAGTGACATAATACATAGTGAGATCACACATAGTGACATCATACCGTGACATCATACATAGCGACATAATACATAGCGACATCATACATAGAGACATCATACTTAGTGACATTATACATAGTGACATTATACATAGTGACATTATACATAGTGACAGCATACATAGTGACATCACACTTAGTGACATAACACTTAGTGACATCATACATAGTGACATTATACATAGTGACAATATACATAGTGACATCATACATAGTGACATCCCACATAGTGACATCATACATAGTGACATCACGCTTAGTGACATCATACATAGCGACATAATACATAGCGACATCATACATAGTGACATCATACATAATGACATCATACAGTGACATAATACATAGTGACATTATACATAGTGACATTATACATAGTGACATTATACATAGTGACAGCATACATAGTGACATCACACTTAGTGACATCGCACTTAGTGACATCATACTTAGTGACATTATACATAGTGACATCATACATAGTGACATCACGCTTAGTGACATCATACATAGCGACATAATACATAGCGACATCATACATAGTGACATCATACTTAGTGGCATCATACTTAGCGACATCATACATAGTGACATCATACATAGTGAGATCATACATAGTGACATCATACATAGTGAGATCATACATAGTGACATCATACATAGTGAGATCATACATAGTGACATCATACATAGTGACATTACACTAAGTGGCATCATACTTAGTGACATCATACATAGAGACATCATCCATAGTGACATCATACAAAGTGACATCACACACAGTGACATCACACTTAGTGACATCATACTTAGTGCCATCATATTTAGTGACATCACACATAGTGACATCACACTTAGTGACATAACACTTAGTGACATCATACATAGTGACATTATACATAGTGACATTATACATAGTGACATTATACATAGTGACAGCATACATAGTGACATCACACTTAGTGACATAACACTTAGTGACATCATACATAGTGACATCCCACATAGTGACATCATACATAGTGACATCCCACATAGTGACATCATACATAGTGACATCCCACATAGTGACATCATACATAGTGACATTACACTTAGTGACATCATACATAGTGACATCCCACATAGTGACATCATACATAGTGACATCACGCTTAGTGACATCATACATAGCGACATCATACATAGTGACATAATACATAGTGACATCATACTTAGTGATATCACACTTAGTGATATCACACTTAGCGACATCATACATAGTGACATCATACTTAGTGACATCACACATAGTGACATCATACTTAGTGACATCACACTTAGTAACATCATACTTAGCGACATACTGTGATCACACTTAGTGACATCATACTTTATCTTCTTCAGCTTAGTAAATTCTGACTGCATACAAATTAACGTATACGCAATGAAAAAAGGTTCGGCGGATTGATAAATGTTTCAAATATGGTACCGTTCGATGACAGCCATTGTTTGGTTCCTGAACATCTAGAAACATGGAACATGTTTTGTATCCATTATGTCTCATTATACAACATAGGGATGCTGGCTAACTTCTTATTCCATTGATGCACATTAAAGATTCTTTGACGGTAAAGCAAACAATGGCAGCTTCCTATTGCGACATTCGACCGCATCATTACCAGAACAGTGTGTCAATGTGTGTACATAACGACCGTTATTAAGGAATAAATATGTTGGAAGTGCTACTAATATTAGGTAATTAAAAAGCGATAAAAAGAAGAAAAATAGTGTTGTTCACTGCATATTTTCTAAATATAGAATGCGCACCATAAAATATGTTCATTGCCAACTGTGTTCATCCTACCGTATAATGCCGTTAAAATGCATGTCAATCCTTAAATATTACCATCACACTTGGTGACATCATACTTAGTGTCATTATACTTAGTGACATTAAACTTAGTGCCATTATCTTATATTGCCATCATACTTAGTGACATCACACTTGGTGACATTATTTTATACTGATATCAACCTTAATGACATCATGTTTAGTGTCATTATTTTATACTGACATCACTCTAATTACTGACATTATTTTATGCTGACATCACAGTTAATGACATCACACTTAGTGACATCAATAATAATTATGGGAAAACAAGACTACCAGCTGGTGGATGTTTCCAAGGGTAGATGTTTCCATGACTTGATGTTTCTATGGATAGATGTTTCCATGACTTGATGTTTCCATGGATACATGCTTTCATTACAAAATGTTTCCATGGGTGGATGTTTCTATGGGTCATGTTTCTATGGGCAGATGTTGAGCATAAAAACTGCACAAAATCAAAAAATGACATTTTTCTGAGTTTATTACGTTGAAACTCAGTTTCTCAGTGAATACATTGAAAACTGTTTGTAAAATACTACTCACTGATCAGTATGGAACAAAAAACATTAAGATTTTAATTGAAAATTATGAGTACCGGTAGCTGATCATTTAGGTCAATGTTAAAGTCCATATTGGACTGGCAATGTACATACACATGGAAATGTATCAAAAACCATGTGAAAATGGTGGTGCTGTATTTTGTTTATCACAAGTAAAGAAGTCATGTCACAAATATTATGTTATATACTCAAACTGCTGTCCAGTGTAATAAATGAGTGTAATAATACTATGACATAAAAGCAAAGTTTTACTTTATTATTTTTTCATTGTTACCCCACTACCCACCCACTTAGTCGAGAAGGGGTACATAGTAAATGCTTACTCAGTGCGTCTGTGCGTGCATCCCTATATTTGTGTGTCTGTCTGTTTGTAGTAAGAAAGCATGTATAGAGAATATCTTTTGAATCCCTCTATGTAAATTTTTACAATAGTATAGTAACCTCAAGTTGTAAACCTGATTAGAGTTTTTAGGGAGATAGGGGTTTATCCTCGGGTTCAAGAAATACTGGTGTAACAGCAAATTATTTCCTCCCTGCTGAAAGTTTCCCGGGGGAAAGAATCAGCTAGCTGTTACTTTCTCCCATTAGATATTTTTATCCCGGGGAAAGAAATTAGCTAGCTGATTAGCTAGAAAACAACAACTAGCTGATTTTTCCACTCTTTTTCAATTTTTGGTATTGATGTTTAGGGAGGGTGAAACAATTTGCTGGCTGTTTTTTTCTCCATTTGGGTTTGTTGTTTAGGGGAAAAACTATCAGCTGGCAGATTTTCCCCCTTGTATTGATTCCCAGGTAGTATATAGATGTCTTCGGTGGCGAAGATTTAGAAAAAGGAAGAAGGAATGTAGTGTCACTGGACTGAGTCGATCGCGGCGACCAGGTAGCTGAATTGGTAGAGCCTCTGTCTAGAGTTCTCCTGTTACAAAAGTTTTAATATATGAGTAAGAAAACATATTATATAATTAATGAAGATAACTCTGACACAAAACATATGCACATCTTTGTTGCATAAGGTAGTTATATAACCCTTAATTGTAATAAAACCCTATATATACATATTGTATAATGAGTATGGTAATAACTCTAATTATTATTTGTGACATCGTCACATACTGTTTATGAGTAAATGCGTCATTTGTTGCCTTTTGTCCAGAATACAAACAAGTCGGTCATCAAATTGAAAACTTTTTTGTAAAATGCATTATATTTTCTGTACATGTATTACATAAAATATTGAAATACATGATTGTATATTAATAATTGATTTTTTGCATGAGAACAACAATAAAACAGAACAATATATTTTGGAAAACGTCAGTCTGATGGTTTTTATTAGCTCACCTGCCCGAAAGGGCTAGTGAGCTTATGCCATGGCGCGGCGTACGTCGTCTGTCCGTCGTCTGTCAACTTTCCTTTTAACGACTTTTTCTGAAGAATGGACAGGCCTAGAGTCATGATATTTGGGTGATAGCTTCGCTGGTAGGAGCCTTACAAAGTTTGAGAATGAAAATGACCTTGACCTACTTTCAAGGTCACAGGGGTCAAATATGTCAAAAACTTTAAACGACTTCTTCTGAAGAACTAAATGGTATAGAATCTTCATATTTGGCTTCCTGGGATGGAGCCGGACAAAGTTTGAGAATGAAAATGACCTTGACGTACTTTCAAGGTCACAGCTGTCAATTATGTCAAACACTTTAAACGACTTCTTCTGAAGAACGAAAAGGTATAGAACTTTCATATTTGGCTGTTGGCTTCATGAGATAGAGCCGGACAAAGTTTGAGAATGAATATATCTTGACCTACTTTCACGGTCACAGGGGTCAAATGTGTCAAAACTCTTCAAACGACTTCTTCTGAAAAACTAAAAGGGATAGAATCTTCATATTTGGCTGATGGCTTCCTGGGATGGAGCCCAACATATCTTGAAAATGACCTTGATATACTTTCAAGGTCACAGCGGTCAAATATGTCGAACACTTTAAACGACTTCTTCTGAAGAATTAAAAGGTATAGAATCTTCATATTTCGCTGGTGGCTTCCTTGGATGGGGCCCGATAAAGTTTGAGAATGAAATTGACCTTGACTTACTTTCAAGGTCACAGCAGTCAAATATGTAAAAACTCTTTAAACGACTTCTCCTGAAGAACTAAAAGGTATAGAATCTTTATATTTGGCTGTTGGCTTGCTGAGATAGATCCCGACAAAGTTTGAGAATGAAAATGTCCTTGACCTTCTTTCAAGGTCACAGGTGTCAAATATGTCAAAAACATCAAAGGGCTTCTTCTGAATAATCGAAAGCATAAAATTATAATATTTGGCTGG